CTTTCACTCCCACCACCAAGCCCACCCACCTCTTCCCCGTAAGCAAGCCTCTTTCCCATCCACAGTTGTTTCTGACTTGGATCACCTGTGTGACCGTGGGTTTAAACCTATCCATTGGAGCCATTTAGCACACACTAGACAATGACTATCCCTCCTGCAGAATCTACCAGCTGCCCAGGGTCCAGTAGGGGCAGCAGGGCCCCATGAGCCCCTCCCCTATCTGTGATTGGCTGTTGGCAGACTCCAACGCAAGCAATCACAAAGGCTGCGAGAGCCCATTTTCAGCGGCTGCCGAGTCCTGAAGGTGTCGGTGCTGTGTGATATTTTGTTTGTGCTCTGACAAGTAAAGCTTGCCTGAAGATCAGAGGGCTGAGCGACCCACTGGCTAACCATAGAGGTCTGGAGGTCTGTACAGAGAGGAGACAGGAAGTGACAACATGGGGCAGAGACAGGAAGTGATCAGGAGCAGACAGGATCTCGGCCCTTTCAGTAGCGAGGATTCAGAAAGGTAAGAGGCGACTGTGGTGGCTCCTTTGTTTCTCTGATCTTTCAGCTTTTACCCTGATACCTGACTCTGGGTTTTTTATTGTTAAGACTAATTAGGATCCCGATTCATCCCAGCCTGTCTTCCTACCTCCTGGCTTCGGCTCTTTCTGTCCCCTCTTCCACAGTGACACTGGAACCTTCTAATGGGTCTTCGAGGTTTTGGTCTACCCCTCAGAGAGAATTTATTTCTGCATTTCAAATTAGGACCTTAGATCTAAAGATGAAAAAAAAATCAACAAGGGTTAAGTGCTGTTGGAGAAAGCTCCCCGAAGTTGTGGTAATTCCAAGTCGGATCTTTGTAGAGCAGAACACGGCTTCACGCTGTTCCTTTGAAAACGATGACACCAAGCAGGCAAGGCAGCTCTTGATTTGTCAGTTACACGAAGCTGTCTGCTTGATAATCAGCTGGCAGACTCTTCCCCACGCAGAACCACAGCAGTAGCTCAGGAACATAACCCAGCACCCGCCCAGGTAGTCTGGAAATCTAGTTCGGCTGGCAGAGTACTTGCCTGGCATACAAGAAGCTTTGCATTCAGTCTCCGCCCTGCACAAGCCTGGTGTATTGGTGCATGCCTGTAATCCCAGCACATGGGAGATGGAGGCAGGAGGATCGGCAGTTCAAGCCCAGCCTCAGCTGCAAGGTGAGATGGGGGCTAGTATGGGTTTAATGAGACTCTGGCTCAAAAGGAAGCGCTCTCTCTCTCTCTCTCTCTCTCTCTCTCTCTCTCTCTCTCTCTCTCTCTCTCTCTCTCTCTCTCTCTGTGTGTGTGTGTGTGTGTGTGTGTGTGTGTGTGTGTGTGTAATCTAAACATTTGGGAGACTGAAACAGGAAGATGAAGAATTTGAGATCAGTTTGTTCATCATAACAAGACCTTACCTCAAAAACAACAAAACCATAGGCTGCTCAAGGAGATTCCACGAAGCCACTGAATCCCAGAGACTGAGAAGCTGCCATTGCTGTATAGAACCACTTCCATGGCTACTGCAGTGTGTCCCTTCCAGGGCCATGGCTGCCCCTGCAGTGTGACCCATCCATGGCCATGGCTGCCCCCTGCAGTGTACAGCTCTGCAATCACCATGGCTGCCTCTGCAGTGTGAACCACTGCAATT